AAATAATAATATTCATTAAAATTCATTAAAAAAATAAAATTATTTCTCAATTGATACATTTATATTTAACGTAGTTATATAGTGTAAGTTAAAAAATTAGTATAATATAACACAAGTAAGTCGCACAATTAAAAAGTATCATAATAAATATATATATATATATATATATATATATATATTCTTATAAAACGTATTTAAATTTTCAAACTACTTTTTCTCATTAATTTTAAATTTTAAGAAAAAAATTAGCAAGCACCCGTGTAATACACGGGTGTTGTACTAGTATTTTTAGTGTTGTTGGATATTTTGGTTTGGTTTGATTAATTTAGAAAAATATGGTATGGTTAGTTGTTAGTGAGTATATTAAAATAATATTTAAAATAAAATAGACAAAATTGATTTGACGTAAAAGTAGGAGGGTGATGATTTGAAACGATGGTTAGTTAAAATTGTGTGAGTTGACGAATAGTAAATTAAGGTTGATGTGGTGTATATGAATGATTGATTGATATTATTTAATTATATTGATAATATTTATTATAATGAGATTGAGTTAAAGTTGTGTTAAAAAAAAAGTGGTTGAATTAAAATGTTTGAATTTTTTTGAAATATTTTGTATACAAACATATTCTTTGTATTTCAATTATAGCATGCAAAAACCTCACACACAAACCCCATTTATTATTGCTTGCCACATATACTCACATACAATAATTGTACGGTTGACACTACAAACGTTCGTTTACGACGATCAGTATAAAACGAACTGCTCCTCTCCGGGATCATGTTCAATACATAAATGTACTACTGCAACTAATAAGTGAAGACAAACTGTACGGTTGACACTACAACCGATCTGATGGGGTGTTCATGTCCATCTAGATTGTGAACCATTAATTCTTGTTTCGCGAGTAACTGATAGTATGATCTTCGGTTCGCCCAATGATGACCCACACTATCTGATGCAAAACAACAGAACATAGAATTTGTTTAATCGAACATGTTTCTCATTCATAAAGGGTAAAAGTGTAATATCATCCAAAGCCAAGCTTTCAGTATATAACACTAACAGTGCCGTTGTTGCAGAAGACCTCCGAGTCCGACCCGATTCACTTGAGGACTCGAACCGTTACCACGAAGGTTCCAGAGGGTAAGGTGCACGTGTACAAGCAAGGGAAGGGCCCGATCAAAGTCATCAAAACGGTCCTGGCCGGGTGGGACCAGGTAGATCTGTAAACGAATCGAACGTTCGCGAACAAAAGCTCGTTCGAGCTCGTTCGTGTTCAACAAAAGCACGTTCGTTTATTAATCGAGCCGAGTTCGCACAGAAAATTAGGCTCATTTAATGATCGAACGAACACGAGCTCGTTCGTGAAAGTTCGACTATGTTCGCGAACATTAATTTAATATAATTTTATTTTATTTTATATATATTTATATAATATTTTTAATAAAAAATCTAAAATGTAATATAAATTTATTTATATATTTACATAATACTTTTAATAAAAAATAAAAAATATTAAAATATTTTTATTTTATTCTTTTATTTTCGAGTTCGAACGAGTTCGAACGAACAAATTTTGAGTTAATCAAACATATTTAAAAAGTTTATGTATTAAATTATTCGAACACGAACGAACTCGAACTTTTACAAACAATTAAACGAACGAACTTGAACATGATTTTTTGCTCGAAAAATAAACGAACGGACACGAACATTGTTCGAACGTAAACGAACACGAGTTCGAACAGCCCAAGCTCGGTTCAGTTTAGTTCGTTTACAGCACTAGGACCAGGACCAGCTCCAGGTGCGCGAGATCCTGGAAAAATATAAATTTAAATCAATTTACGCGTTCGCGCCCAAATTGGGTCGGGGCGTGCCGATCTGGTTCAACCCGAGGAATGGCCAGTCGCTGCTCACTTACAGGGACGGTGTCGTTATTATGTTGATGGGGAGCCCAATGTAAAATTCAGAAAGAATACGTTGTGCTTGTTTTGTTGCATTATTTGGAAATAAAGAAATATGATTCGAAATTGGGAAAATTTGGGTATGAGATGAATTGATTAATTTGAATTTGAATCAGTTTCAGAGGAACTAATTCATCGGTTTTTGTATTGAATACGACCCTTTTATGTTTAAGTTTTTATGTTGTGTGTGTTGGCTTCATATAATGTTAATAAACTAGAAATATACTGCTAATACGCTGTTAAGATAGAAATATACTCTTAATAAACTAGAAATATATTGTTAATAAAAATGTGAAAAAAATAGTGTTAATAAAACGTGAAAGATTAATTTTTTTAAACCAAAAATATACTGTTAATAAATTAAAATAAATTAGAAATATTTATGATTGACCCATCTCATTTTTTTTCCTTATAAAATTTCAATTCCTCTTTTTTTTTCGGTATATTTTTGTGTATAGTTCCAGTAAAAAAAAAAGAAACATAATTTCTTTATTGAAGACATGTTTTTCATTACAACATATACTGAATATATACTAACATAAACGCAACATATACCTACTTGGACAGCTGCTTGAATTACAATACATGTTTATCTCTCTCCGTTGAAAACGTAGAAGCTGCGCAAATATTAAGGAGAATTACTAAATGACATAAAAAGGGGATGAAAGTTTCATTTCTCTCTCTTAATCAAGGGCATAGAAAGGGGGATGAAAGTTAAAAGGATATGGTACCTGACTTTAGGTAGATACGTAATTATTTGTTTGTAGGATAATTTTTGCAATTTTTTCGTAATCTTATAGGATAGATAAAATTTTGGGAAATTTTCATCTATCCAATATGATTCTAAAAATATTGCAAATTTACAATTCATAAACAAATAATTACAAATCTACCTAACAGATAATAAGTAACATTAATGCTTAAATTCAGTTACTATAATCTTCAACATCCATCCCCTTTTTATGGAATTAATTAAGAGGGAGAAATGAAAAACATGCCTATAATAAATAACTAACTCATTTAATTCCACGCAACTGAAATTCTTTAATTCACGCAGCTCAGGTGGTATATATTGAGTATATGTTAGTATATATTCAGTATATGTGCACAGCTGAAATTCCTTAATTCACGCAGTTGTCAGGTGGTATATATTGAGTATATTTTAGTATATATTCAGTATATGTGCGCAACTGGAATTCCTTAATTCACGCAGTTGTCATATGGTATATATTCAGTATATGTTGTATATATTCAGTATATGTCTAATTTTCTTTATCATATATCGAAAATATAGTGAATATATACCATACAACAACAAAAAAATCAATTTATTCTTGTTTTGAATCAAATTTTGAATATTTTGAAAACATAAAATGTCTATAAACTGAAAATATATTGAATATAAACCATACATATAAAACGTCTATAAACCATAAATATCAAAGATATACTTAATATAAACCATACATATAACAGGGGAACAATACAATATGTGTTCGTTAACGAATCGAATACGTTTGAATCTTCGAATATTTTAACGAATCCGAATCGAATAATTCGCTTTGATTCGATCCGTTTACAGCCCTATTGGTGGACATATACTCTATATACACACAACATATACTGAATAGTTTACAAATTATCTTCTAATATACTGAACATATACTCCCTATACACACCACATATATTGTCTGCCTATCCACGCAATATATCTGTTGTGATCATATACTGCATGCCTATACACGCAACATATACTGCCGTGAACATATATTGTAGATGTATTGTACATATACTCAACATATATGTGTTGTCACGTAGATATATTGAAAACCGACGACTCACGACGTCGGGGCATCTACGGGCGATTGTTGTACATTCTGTCATGGCGGACGCGCTGCTTCTCGGCATCGCGATTGCGGGCCTCGACCTCCTCGTCACGTGCTCCATCCATGTCGGGCATGTGTACATCGCTTATAACAATGTCGTATAAATTCCTTTTGTCCCTTAGAAATTTCAATCTCTGCAAGGTTGCACGTTGTAACTGGGAAAAGAAAAAAGATAAATAACTATTAGATTAAATTTTAAGCAGAATACGAAAAAATTTAGGGATAGTTGTTTTCTAATTTCAAGAACCATAATTTTCAAGAATTTTAACAGAGTTTCTTGGTCAATTGTTTTATCCAGTAATCAAAGCTTCGCAACTAAATGAAAATAAAAAATAAGATGAGAAAAGAAAAAGGAGTTTTATCAATACAAGACCCGAAAGATGGGTAAACTATCAATGTGGGGCCTGAAAGATATTTTTTTCTGAATTCGAGACTTAAATGTTATAAAACTATCAAATTAAAGACCCGAAAGATGGGTAAACTATCAATGCGGGGCCTAAAAGATTTTTTTTCTCAATTTGAGACTTAAATGTATTAAACTAGCAAATTAACAAAACTCATAACACCATTAAATTTAGAGTTAAAAAAAAATAAAAAATAAAAGATTGGTGTTTACTCACATAAAATAATAAGTAAACATTTGCATAATATTAAAAAAAAAAGAAATTGACGATAGCAAGAAAATCGAGCAAAAGTTTCATACTTTCCTTAATTTTCTCCATCAATCTCGTATTTTCCTTAATTTTCTTCATTTTTTTTTTTGACTTTGTAACAAATTTGATGTTTTAAAATTTCAAACTATCTCTAAATTTAATATTTAGAGATTGTCTTAAATTTACTTATAATTTTCTTTAATTTTTCTTCAAACTTCTTTTTTTTTTTAATATTATGCAATGTTTACTTATTATTTTATGTAAGTCAACACCAATCTTTTATTTATTTTTTAAAAAAACTCTAAATGTAATGGTGTTATGAGTTTTGGTAATTCTAGACTTAATTTGATAGTTTTATAACATTTAAGTCCCGAATTGAGAAAAAAAAATCTTTCAGGCCCCGCATTGATAGTTTACCCATCTTTCGGGACTTTAATTTGATAGTTTTATAATATTCAAGTCCCGAATTGATAAAAAAAATCTTTCAGGCCCCGTATTGATAGTTTACCCATCTTTCGAGTCTTCTATTGATAAAACTCCAAAGAAAAAAATGAAGATATCTATAATAATAATAATAGTAATATAATAATAAAAAAATGATCTTTAAATGATAAATATAACCTGCACACAAAAAGGAACAATTGCTCAAGAGTACGACTTGGCACAAGATCACGTTAAAAAATACCTGTTCCTAAATGTAGAGAGATGCCCACCGCCAGTCCCGCCCACCCTTGCTTTTTTTTTTTTTTTTTTTTTT